AACATACGCAAGTCTATAAACATAATCCACCATATAAACAAAACCAAAGACAAAAACCACATGATTATCTCAACAGATGTAGAGAAGGCCTTTGACAAAATTCAACAGCCCTTTATGCTAAAATCTCTCAATAAACTAGATATTGATGGAACGAATGTCAAAATAATAAAAGCTATTTATGACAAACCCACAGCCAATATCATACTGAATGGGCAAACACTGGAAGCATTCCCTTTGAAATGTGGCACTAGATAAGTATGCCCTCTCTCATCACTCCAATTCAACATAGTATTGGAAGTTCTAGCCAGAAAAATAAGGCAAGAAAAAGAAATAAAGGGCATTCAATTGGGAAAGGAGGAGATCAAATTGTCTCTATTTGCATTTATGCAAATATGATTTTATATTTAGAAGACCCCATCATCTCAGCCCAAAATCTCCTGAAACTGATAAGCAACTTCAGCAAAGTCTCAGGGATACAAATTAATGTGCAGAAATTACAAGCATTCCTACACACCAATAAAAGACTTAAAAAAAGCCAAATCAAGAACAAACTGCCATTCACAATTGTTACAAAGAGAATAAAATACCTAAGAATACAACTAACAAAGGATGTAAAGGACCTCTTCAAGGATAACTACCTCTTCAAGGAGAACTACAAACCACTGCTCAAGGAAATAAGAGAGGACACAAGCAGATGGAAAAAACATTCCAGGCTCATGGTTAGGAATAATCAGTATTGTGAAAATGGCCACATTGCCAAAGGTAATTTTATTGATTCAATGCTATTCCCATCAAGCTACCTTCCATCCTCTTCACAGAACTTGAAAAAACCGCCTTAAACTTCATATGGAACCAAAAGAGAGCCTGCATAGTCAAATCAATACTGAGCAAAAAGAACAAAGCTGGAGGCATCCTGCTACCTGACTTGAAACTATACTACAAGCCTACAGTAATCAAAACAGCATGGTACTGGTACCAAAACAGAGATAAGACCAATGGAACAGAACAGAGGCCTCGGAGGCAACATCACACATCTACAACCATCTGATCTTTGAAAAACCTCACAAAAACAAGCAATGGGGAAAGGATTCTCTGTTTAATAATGGTGCTGGGAAAATTGGCTAGCCATGTGCAGAAAGCAGAAACTGGACCCCTTCCTGATACCTTACATAAAAATTAACTCCAGATGGATTAAAAACTTAAATATAAGACCTAACACCATAAAACCCTAGAAGAAAACCTAGGCAAAACCATTCAAAACACAGGCATAGGCAAACACTTCATGACTAAAACACCAAAAGCACTGGCAACAAAAGCCAAAATAGACAAATGGGATCTAATTAAACTCCAGAGCTTCTGTACAGCAAAAGAAACAATCATTAGAGTGAACGGCAACCAAAACAATGAGAAAAATTTTTTGCAATCTACCCATCTGACAAAGGGCTAATATCCAGAATCTACAAAGAACTAAAAACGGATTTACAAAGAAAAAAAAAAAAATTCAAAAGTAGGCAAAGGATATGAACACTTTATAAAAGAAGCCATACATGAGGCCAACAAACATATGAAAAAATGCTCATCATCACTGGTCATTAGAGAAATGCAAATCAAAGCCACATTGAGATACCATCTCATGCCAGTTAGAATGGAGATCATTATTTTCTAAAGACAACAGATGCTGGAGAGGATGTGGAGAAATAGGAACACTTTTACATTGATGGTGGGAGTGTAAATTACTCAACCATTGTGGAAGACAGTGTGGCAATTTTTCAGGGACCTAGAAATAGAAATTGCATTTGACCCAGCAATCCCATTACTGGATATATCCAAAGGATTATAAATCATTCTATTATAATGACGCATGCACACGAATGCTCACTGCAGCACTGTTTACAATAGCGAAGACCTGGAACAACCCAAATGCCCATCAATGAAAGACTGGACAAGGAAAATGTGGCACATATACACCATGGAATACTATGCAGCCATAAAAATCGATGAGTTTGTGTCCTTTGTAGGGACATGGATAAATCTGGAAACCATCATTCTCAGCAAACTGAGACAAGAACAGAAAATCAAGCATCACATGTTCTCACTCATAGGTGGGTGTTGAACAATGAGAACACATGGGCACAGGGAGGGGAGCATCACACACTAGGGTCTGTTGCGGGGCAATGGGAGGGACACCACAGGATAGGGAGGTTGGGAAGGGATAACATGGGAAGAAATGCCAGATATAGGTGACTGGGGGATGGAGGCAGCAAACCACCTTGCCATGTATGTACCTATGCAACAATCTGGCATGTTCTGCACATGTACCCCAGAACCTAAGGTGCACTAAAATATAAACATATATAGAGAAAGAAAAAAAAGAAAATCCAAAAGCTGAACAGACCAGCAACCAGTAAGATCAAAGCCATAATAACATGTTCTCTAACAAAGAAAACCCTGAGACCCTATGGAAAACCCTGAGAAATTCAAAATTCAAATTGTTTAATTTTAGCAACCATTTAAATAACTAATACTTACCCTATTCAACCTACTCCAAAAGATAGAGTAAGAAGAGTAACAGAGTAATCCTGGCCATTTTACAAAATGAGTATTATCTTAATACAAAAACTAGATAAAGACACATCAAAAACGGAAACTACAGGCCAATATCCCTGATAAATACTGATGCAAAAATCCTCAATAAAATATTAGCAAGCTAAATTATATAACACATTGAAAAAAGGTCATCATGACCTTTTTGTGAAGGCATCTAGGATCTGCACTCCATATTATGTACCATCAGAAATGCATGCAGATGTACACTAAATATTGAATAACAGTTGTCATAGCAGTATTATCCATAGCAGCCCCAAATTTAAAATAATCCAACTATCTACCTGTAGCTGTTGAATGTTAAAATATATTGCCGCGTATCCACACAACAGAATACCAAGGAACAATAAAAATGAGCCAAATGCAAGAACCTGACACAAAACCCATAAATATTACAATCCTAGTGATTAGCAAAAGAAGTCAGACACCGAAGAAACATGTCCTATATGGTTCCATTAATTCAAGGAGTTAAAAACAAGGGAAATTATAGGGTTAAAGGGTAAAATAGTGATTACCTTTAGAAAGCAAGGAGGAATTAATAATTGGAAAGAGAAATGAGAACTTTTCTTGGATGCTGGTAATATACTATTTCTAGATCTGAGATGTGATTAAATAGGCTTGTTCAACTCATGATAATTCATCAAGCTATACCACTGATACATGTATTTTCTTTATGTATACCTCCAAATTTTAAAAATTTAAAACAAGAATAAAAGAAGATAAAGCTTCAACAGTTTCCCTTGTCAAATAACAGTTTCCACTCTAGAATTTATGAGACAGAATATTACTTAGGAAGTTAAAGAGGACCTTAGAGCAGCATGCTTAAATGTGTACTTCAGCTCTTATTTAGTATGTAAATCAGACAATAGCACAGATTTCGTGCCGTGTGAACTACTGCAATTAACTACGAAAAGCACCAATCTGTTAATCTCAGAAAAGACCTTTTCTTGAAGTATGCGATGTTTTAGATATTTTAGACTGGTACAATTTAAATTGAAGGTGTCCTTGGTACGCTGGAAAAAAGCTGCGACTTTATGCAAAAAAGGAAATATAATATATCTTGATATCACACATTAGCTACCACATTGCCATACATTAATTGCAAAGATGTTATCTACTTCCACAGAAAACAGGTATTGTATCTTCACCTTTCCAAGGCTCTTCACAAAATACTTAATATCAAAACACAAAAGAAAAGTACTTTCATGTAGCCAAGTGTTTATTCATATTTTTGAAATAGGCAAATTTCACTACAAAAGAAATTTGCAAATACCTATTTTCCAAAAGATCAACTAAGTTACACAATAGATACGGACCAACAGTGGTCATCGCACTATTATCCATAGTAGCCCCAAATTGAAAACAATCCAACTATCTACCTGTAGCTATAGAATATTAAAATATATTGCCATATTTCCATACAACAGAATACCAAAGAACAATAAAAATGAACAAAATGCAACTAAGCTGATCTTTTTGAAAATAGGGTATACCCATCTCTTAGCACATTCAGCCAATAAGTTCAAACTCCAAAATGAACTCAACATGCCCATGTAAGGAACTGTAAACAAATTCACAACTGGAGAAAAATTACCTACTTTTACTAGGAAATTTTCCATTTGAATAAAATATATTAAGAAAAAAATCCTGCTAACTTTCCTTATCTTGAAAAAAAAAAGATATTATGAAAAATGAAAACACAAATAAATACACTCCCAAAGTTGACAAATTTGCAACAGTTTAGGGACCATTAAGAGGTTTCTCCTAAAAAGAAAAACTGATGATATAAAGAAATGTACACTAAATGACTGTATTTTTTTACTTTAATTCCACCAAGGATGGTGATTTGATAAAAATAAATCACTGAACAATGAGTGTCAACAATATGACTCGGAGATAATAAAGCTTGGGAATTAGGAGTATTTTCATATCAGACAAAAACAGACCGCAAAGAGGTCTTTGTCGCAATTATAACTTACACATATGTGAGATGACCTGAAAATGGGCAGTGCCACAAACCACTATTAAAAGCATTCTGCATTTCTTAAATATTATTTAATAAAAACTATAGAAAAATCACTGAGCCAGTAAAACCTAAATTATCTTTCAAACAGTCACAATAAACTCAGTTAAAAGAAATGTTGACTCTATCTCTAGTATGCTAATACTGTAATATAAGTCCCTAAATACAAATACCAAATAAATATACATAAATATGCCAAACATAAATAGCCAAAATTCATGAACATTTTATAAGAACTACAAGAACATACTTTTGGACAACATGGGACATATCATCCAGAAGGTTAAAATCTACTAAACTTCATTGTAATTATGACCAGCCCACCTATCCCCTATGTATGAAATAAAACTTTTTATTGAGAAAGAGTTCTCACCACTTCTTGTTTCTGGGCTTCATTAAGTTTTTCAGTCAATTCTTCCAAAGCCCTTTTTGTTTCCGCATCCGACCTCAGCCAAAAAAAAAAAAAAAAAAAAAAAAAAAAAAAGATTTTTACTTGGATATTTAGAAAATGTACAGAACTAGTGAAATGTATAACATGATAATTATGTTATCACAAAATAATCTACTTTAGTGGTTCTCAAATGTTATAAACATCTGAAACACCTGGAAGGCTTGTTAAAACAGACTGCTGGATCCCTTCCCCCAACCCCCAAATTTCAAATCAGCAAATCTCAGATGAAGACCAAGAATGTGCCTTCTTAAAATCCCTAGGTGATGCAGGAATAGAGGTCTGGAGGTCTGGAGACCAAACTCTGAGAACCACCGCTACACTGGAACATCACTCTCAGTAAACAAACATGTTGCAATATCTCTCATCTTAAATTAAGAAAAAAAGAAAGAGAAAAGGACAAAAAAGAACAAAACCCTCTTGATCTTACACCCTGTTTCTAGCAATTCATAAAGAAATTATCTCAGCGTGTGCTGTACAAACTCTATCCTCGCTAACCTCCCATTACCTTGCTTCTCATCAAATTAATAACAAACAAACAAATGATAAACAAAATAGTACAAAAAGATTTACAAAGAAAAGAAAAAGCCTTTCTATCTTGCACTGTCTTACTTCTGGCTCCCCTTCCCTCCAGGAACCACGCACAACTATTTCTATTGTTAATTGCTTTGTTGGTTACCTTTATCATGCTCAACACGAGACATTTTCGACTGACTCTGCTTTGAAATATTTAGCTCATTCTCTAATTTCAGATTATCTTATCACTACTTTTAGTTCTACTGGTTGCCTGTAGAATTTTATGTAATATATTTATACATCTTATGAATTTTATGAATTATTCCATCCTATGAAATTGATAGAATTGATGTTTTGTACTCACATTCTATCGTGTTCACATTTTAGTCAGCTTCACACTGGGATCATAACTTCCTTGTGCTTTTGTTTTTTCCACACTTTCTCATTATCTTTTGGCTTTATATGTGCCTTACTCATCACATCATTGATATTTTCCTCCCACTTCTTACTGAATGGTCAACAAACCATCTATTTCCTTCTTTTTGACTCAAAGGACACTTACTTTCCTGCTCTAATTTACGGGGAATACTTCCTGGGCCTGTTCCACAGTTGTCATTCCAGGGTTACTTTTCCTGAATCTTCAGGTTAATTTTACTATTTCTTAAAATCTTTATGTTTCTATTTCTTGGTTACAATCTTATCTTACTTATATATCCTTAGGTAATTTCTTGAAAAAAAAAAAAGTTATCTTAAAATGGTAAATTTTTGAAGACTTTAAACCTCTGAAAATGTCTTTATTCTTACCCCTTTCTTGGCTTTTGTGGTTCTATGCTCTCTGAAATTACCCCCATATCTCACTAGCTATTCCAACTCAGGCCAGCTTCCTTCTATCATAAGACTCCTAGATATTAGAACTCCTTGGAACTCAGTCCTGTCCTTGATATCCCCCCTACATTTTCTCTCTTGGTATTATCCATTCCCATAGCTTCAAAAGACACTTCTACATGCTGACCACTGTTAAAATTTACCTTTAATAGAGACTTTTCCTTCGAGCTCCACAGTAAATATCTAGCTGAATATTTTACTTTCCATTTGAATGCCTCACAGGCATTTCAAACATAACATATCCAAGGCCAAACTCTCTGCATCTCACCTACCCAAACCAGTCTTCAATATCTCAGGAAGTGGAATTACCATCTATCTAGTTACTCAAATTGAAAATCTTAAGAGTCATCCTCAGTTAATTCTCCCTCAACCACCATATCCAGTCTATTACCAAATTCCGTATCTTTGATTTCCAACAACCGTATCTTGAAACATACCCCTGTCCATCTCTCTCTTGCTATAATCCTGGGTCAGGCCATCATCAACTCTTATATGCTAGTGCAACAGACTTCTACCTTGCCCTCCTCAAATCAATTTTTTTTCCTTCATGACAGATTTCGCTCTGATACCCAGGCAGGAGTGCAGTAGCACATCTTAGCTCACTGCAGCTTCAACCTCCTGAGCTCAAGCAATCCTCCCACCTCAGCCTCACAAGTAGCTGGGACCACAGGCGTGTGCCACCACACCCAGCTCATTTTTTTGGTATTTTTGTTAGAGACAGAGTTTCACCATGTTGCCCAGGCTGGTCTCAAACTCCTGAGTTCAAATGATCCACCCGCCTTAGCCTCACAAAGTGCTGGAATTATGGGCCTGAGCCACTGTGACCAGCCCAATCAATTCCTCATATGGCATCCAAAGTAGGTGATTTCTGAATTAAACTTTACTTAATCCTTTTCAAAAGCTTGCTTCCAAGTGTACTTTTATTATTCAATGTCCATTTTGTAATAAATGTCGAAAATGAAGAATCAGTGAGAATGAGAATTAATTAGAATACCAATCTTTCAACATCAAATAGAAAGTTAAACTTTTTAACTTCCTGTCCATTATTTTTATAAACATGAAGTAAGAATTTATGGTACAAGGAAAGCAGAACTGGATCCAGAAATTTTACACATTCACAAAGGTAAGCCACCTCATTTCCCAAGAAACCCAACTCCTATTTTCGGTTAAACAAAGTTTTCTGCCTCACACATGCCTCTAGGTCACAAAGACGATTCCCAGATGGCACTAGCCTACAGATCACAAAGACTATTACCAGATACTAAGAGCCCAGTCCAATACTGCTCATTCAAATGGCCATTTAAACTAATTAACTAAATCATCCCTGCAACTTCCCCAGTATCTTCCTATAAAATACTGTACAAGCACTGTAACTGATGCTCCCAGTGCTTAATTTATACCCTTCTTTGAAATGGGTAGAGGTTATGTAATAAAACCATTCCTGCAATAAAGTGTTAATGTTATTTTGTTAATGTTATCAACTTGTAAAAAAAAAAAACCTAAATATTAAATGAACCAAGTCTCACCAGTTTAAAAGATTAGCAATATAGCTCAGTAATATATTTCACAATCCAGGAATTTAAATGCTTTATTCACATCAGCCGCATGTGAAAATGATTCTGAACCACTATACACTGTAAGTGATAAGGAGCAGAGACTTTGGGGCCTTACTACCTAGATTCTAATTCTGACTCCACTGTAACCCTCCTGTTTGATTTCTAGCGAGCTGAGTTATTTCATCTCTCTGTGCCCATTTCCTCATCCACAAAATGGAGAAAAAAATAATGATTACCTCAAATGATAGTTGCTAGAATTAAAGTTATATCATGAAATAAGGGCTCAATAATATTAGCTAATAGCACTAGTAATAATGATGACATCTTTCATTCCTATTACAGCCTATACTTGATATTCACAGATTTAACATTTAGAGTTTTGGCGATTTTCGTTGCAGCAACACAGAACTGGTGCATGGTATGATTTAGATAGCTGGAGTTAGCAAGCAAACCTGGCATACATATTTCAATTCAGCTTTATTGCTCCCTAATCTTTGCTGTATATGGATTGCAATTCTGAAAAAGACACAAAAGTCTTTGTTTCTTAGCAAAACATCACCTCCAAAAGAAAGCCACTGGTGATGACAAAAATGAAAAGATAGTAAATAAGTTTTAAATTAAATAACAGCTGTTGGGGACTATCCAGAATTGACAAAATTGCAAAGATGCTCACCATTGACCCTCAAAGATTTCAACTAAAAGCTAAAGTATTGGATTCTACAATGGCTTCTGTCCACTAAACTTTATGTTACACTGCTTTTTTTGTGTGCAGTGCCAAAAGTCAGTCAGCTAGTAAGTCAGTCTTTGTCTCTCTCTCTCTCCAGAGCATTTGCAAATCTACCTGTTTGCGAAGGCCTCACAATGTATCCCTCCAAAATGTCAGCATTCCATTGTGTTAAGTTATAGTGTTTTTAGAAATAGGAAATTAATTTGTCTAACACTGAGTCATGATATATTCTAAATTCAAAGGGTTGTAAACTGTTCTATTAATAAATTTTAAGACACTGTATAAAACAACTTTTTAAAAATCTACATAAATATATAAATTACAGAAGCTAACTTATGCTCCTGATAATTTATCCCTCTCATAAAAACCATAATCTGCTTTTACCGGCTCCTTCTGGAAAGCTCCCTGTTGAAATCATCTCCAAGGCGAATTTGTTCACTGCTGAGGTCTCGAAGAGACTGATGAAAAGCATGAAGCTAGCAAAGGCAAAACACAGTTATCCATTTAGAATTCTATTGAATTCTTCCATGAAGATTCACCAAAGGTAAGAATAAAAGCTTGTTCTTTGCAATAATAACCAGATTCTACAATATTATGAAAAAGTAAAATGCCTATTTTGAAAGAAAAACATTTTCCAAGAAAAACAAATTTTTAAAAGCTATATATAACATTTACCATCATGTTCTGCAGTACAACTGTACTCTCCCAGAATTCTACCCCTCTAGAAGGGGTCTGCTTCCTCCTTAGTCAGCGTAAAAGAAAAAAAAAAAGAGAGAGAGAGAGACAGAGAAAAGGGATCTGCCAACTTTTTCTGTAAAGGGACCAACAGTGACTATTCCAGGTTTACAAGGTGTATGGTCTCTGTCACCATTAATTCTGCCACTGCAGTGGAAAAGTAACTGTAAAGCATGGCTGAATTACAATAAAACTTTATTCTATCAACCTACAGTGCCTTAGTCTGCCAACCCCTGCTGTAGGGAAACTCTTGCCCATGTACACTTGGAACCACGTACAAGAAAATATGGTGCAGCATTATTCATAATAAGAACATGAGAAACAAACCAAATGCACACCAAGATAAATAAACTGCGGTATATTCCCCCACTGCAGTACAATATAACAGTGAAAATGAAACAATCAAAGATACCTAAACATTAGTCAAGTTGGATGTCAAAAACATAACTTCAAATAAAATTAGCAAGTTACAAAAGATTACAGTAATATCCCATTTATATAAAGTTTAAAGGCAAGCTACACTAAACAAGATGTAGGTAGTAAAAATAATATTTTTTTTACAAAGCAGAAACAATGTCAGGATAAGAATAAAGTCAGGATAGTGGATACCCCTTAGGAAAAGAAGGAGTATAAAAGACGGTTGGGGGTATAGTAGTGCTTTATTTAGTGGCCTGGGTGGGGGTTATATAGTGTTCATTCTCATTACTGTATCTTTAACTGTAAATACATATGCAGAATATAAATACTACCATTTGTAATAAAAATATGTTAAACAGACTTGCAAAAACAACAAATTGATTCATTTCAACAAATGCACATTAAGCAAGTTATCAGTGCCATCTACTGAGAAGTGGCTCACAATCTGACTTGAGAGCCAGATATGTAAACAAACCCCAAATTCTTTATGAGGGCTTTAAGAAAGTACAAAGTCAAGTGGAGCTAAGAGTAATCTTAAGAATTAACTTAATGAGGAAGAACCATAAAAAGAAAGAAGTAGTATAGTGAATGAAAAACTTCAGTTTTGCCAAGATTTTCCAATTTAGCAAAACAGAATCCCAGGATGCATTTGACGCCTCCTTTTCATTCATTCCTACCTTCCCCACATGGCTATCTAATTTACAAGACCTTTCCATTTTCTCAACTAAATAGCTTTAAATTCTACCTCCTTCTCTCCAATTCTATCTATCCTAATCCAGGTGACCATCAATTCATACCCAGAACACAGCAATATCCTTCTAATTGGCTCACCCACATTGACTCCATTTTCCACACTACAGCCAGAGTGATCTTTTCAAAATAATTTTGTCAGCCCTCTTACATGGCTCTACATGATGTCAGCCCTTCATACTTCTTTAGCCTTGTGGGCCTTCTTTAAATTGCTCATAGGGGCTATTTACCCTCCTGCCAAGCTGGTTCTACCTGGAATGACTCTTACTCGTCATTCTTACTCAACTTTCAGATGTCAGCTCAGTCAGCCTTTCTTCAGGAAGTCTTCCTTGACTGGGGCATGTCCTCTACCATAAAATTGTGTAGCCCTGTGCATCTTTCCACTATAGCAGGCATCTCAGTTCATCATTAAGGTTGTATTTATGTATTTATTTGATTAATAGCTAGCTCCTCCTCTATATTATAAACTTATTAAAAGACAAGTTTTCTGCTCATCACTGTTTCCAAGTGTAAGCATTATCCCAATGATAGAGACATTAAATAAACAGAAGGAAAGAGTAAACGAATACTGTTAAGATATTGTTCTCTGTTCTGGGCTTTATCATATAGTCCATGCTAGCAAGGCACAGCTATCAAAAAAATCACACAGTCAAAGAAAAGTTTCCACAAGTTGTTTTCTAATGCATTTGATTTTGTTGTCTCTTTATGAGGTAACAAATGATGGCTACAGATGAGTATCTTAAAATACACTTTGGGGACCTAATCCTAAAACTACCAACACAAAAGGATCAAAGTTCAGAACTCTCCCTAGCCCTTTTCCATTTAATTCAGCTACTTAAGACAACAAAAGGAAAAACTACAGCTCTGCAGAGAACTCTAATGAAGCAGAAAATATCTCCACACAACTAATATTTCAGAAATTTTTAGTGAATACATAAACTATAAAATTTGTTACTTAATAGAAAATGGCTCTATCAATGATTCAACAATCAGAAAAATACTAATGGTAGAAAAATCAGTAACCACACAAAATAACCACACAAAGATTAGCTTGTTCATACTAAACCAAACTTAGTAAAATAGAAAGCAGCTGACCCTAGCTTAAAGAAAAATGAGCTAAACAAGAAAGGAAACAAAACATGTCCAATCAAGCTCACTTTTAAATGTTCTGCAAGATATACTCCTCCATAGCAAAACTCAAAAGGAAGATGATTTGCACATTGAAAATAATCTACTTTACTTAAAAAATCCATATTAACAGTCTTATATTCACACAGAATGACAAAAGTTCCCAAATAGCCAAAACAATCCTAAGCGAAAAGAACAAAGCTAGAGGCAGCACACTCCCTAATTTCAAAACATTATAAAGTGATTGTAATCAAAACAGCATGGTACTGGCATAAAAACAGATACATCAACCTATGAACAGAGGAGAAAACCCAGAAATAAACCCAAACATTCATGGTCAACTGATTTTTTTATGAAGGTGCCAAGAACACACACTGGGGAAAGCACAGACTCTTCAATAAATTGTGTTGGCAAAACGGCATATACATCCAGAAGAATGAAATTAGGCCCTTATCTTACAACACACATAAAAATCAACTCAAAATGGATGAAATGCTTAAATATAAGTCCTGAAAATCTAAAACCACTAGAAGAAAACATAAAAAGAAAATCTCCATTACTTTAGTTTAGGCAATGATTTCCTGGATATGACCCCAAAAGCACAAGCAATAAAAGCAAAAATAGGCAAATGGGATGACATCAAACTATAAAGCTTCTGCATAGCAAAGGAAGCAATTAACAAAATGGAGAGACAATCTACAGGATGGGAGAAATATCTGCAAACCATATATCTAACAGCATTCTAATATCCAAAATATGAAAGGAACTCCAACTTAATAGCAAAAAAAAAAAAAAAATTAAAAATGGGCAAAGGACCTGAACAGACATTTCTCAAAAGAAGATATACACATGGTCAATAGGTACATTTTTTAAAAAATATTCAGCATCAGTAAACTTTAGGAAAATCCAAATTAAAACCACAATGATATATCACCTCACACGTTAGAATGGCTTTTATCAAAAAGATGAAAGACAAGTGTTGGAGAGGATGTGGAGGACAGGGATCCCTTGCATCCTGTTAGTGAGAATGTAAATTAGTACAGCCATTATGGAAAACTGTACAGAGGGTCTTCAAAAACTAAAAACAGGACTACCATATGACCCACTAATCCCATTTCTGGATATATACCCAAAGCTACTGAAATCAGTATGTCAAAGGGATGTCTGCACTCTAGTGTTTATTGCAGCATTATTCACAATAGCCAAGATCTACAAACAAGCTAAGCGTGTATCAGTGGATAAATAAAGAAAATGTAGTATATATATACAATGCAATACTATTCAGCCTTTAAAAAGGGAGAAATCCTGTCATTTGCAAAAACATGGCTGAATCTGAAGACATTATGTTAAGTAAAAAAGATTAGGCACAGAAAGACAAATACTGGATGATCCTACTTGTGTATGAATTCTAATAAAGTTGAACGCACAGAAATATAGGGTAGAATAATGGTTACCAGAGGGTGGTGGGTAGAGGGGGTGAAGAGGGAGAGAAAGGGGAGCTGTTGATCAAACAGTCCAAAGTTTCAGAACAACAGGAGGAATAGGTTTTGAGATTTATTGCATGCCAGGGTGAGAAGTGTCAATAATAACATATTATATATTTCAAAAAAACAGAGAATAAATTTCAAATGTCTCACCATTAAAAAATGACAGATAAAGAAGGTGATTGACGTTAATTAACTTGATTTAATCATGCCACATTGTATACATATATTAAAACATCATATTATATACCATAAATGTATACAACTATGATTTTTCAATAAGAAAAAAATAATGAAAAGTAAAATAAAGCAGTTTACTTGGTTCAAAAAAAAAAGATATCAGTATAAAGTTACTAATGATCAAATTCTTGGTTAAAATATAACCTTAAAGTTCAAGTGTTAGTCATTTATATATAATGGAAACATAAGGAAATACTGCACACAAATAACAAAATGGTACAAAGTACCTGAGCCATATCATCAGTCTCTTGAACAAACCGGACACCAGCTCTGGCTCTCATTCGTTTAGTACCCTGTGGATCTCCATAGTCCTTGAGAGGTGAGGTAGGTGGAAAACGATGGCTCTCTTTACAAGTGAAAGAAAGGGGAAGAGATTAAAACATTGCCTGAGAAGAGATAATCTAAAATTTTACTCAATACTAACATGGAAGACATGAATATACATATACAAATGTCCCTAACCCAGACTATTTCCCAAGTATCTTGCTGTGGCCACAGAGTTCCACCAAATTTGCATTAATCTTATTCTTAAAACAGATTAAGCAAACAACAGAAATAACCTGGAAACAGAACACTCAAACGTTTCAATTTGCTATAGTTTCCAAAGAAGCAACATATTTTCTCATATAAAAATAATAAATTACTGGCTGGGCACAGTGGCTCACACCTGTAATCCCAGCACTTTGGGAAGCCAAGGCGGGTGGAGCATGAGGTGAAGAGATCGAGACCATCCTGGTCAACATGGTGAAACCCCGTCTCTACTAAAAATACCAAAACTTAGCTGGGCATGGTGGCGCGTGCCTGTAATCCCAGCTACTCAGGAGGCTGAGGCATGAGAATTGCCTGATCCCAGGAGGCGGAGGTTGCAGTGAGCCAAGATCGCACCATTGCACTCCAGCCTGGGTAACAAGAGTGAAACTCCTTCTCAAAAAATTATAATAATAATAATAATAAATTACTAAATAAAAAACTTTTATGACTACTTAATATAACTTAATACTAAAAAACACAATTTTTCAAACTACTTAGTCTACAATTTGAAGAGCATATAAAAATAAAAACCAATTACATGAAAAAGAATAGTGCTCAACTTTTAATCATTGTTATAATCATTGGTAATATCAACAATGTAAGGTACCAATGTTCAATTATCTAAATCATCTCCCTTCACTGCAGGCTTTTTGATTCAAACATGAATCTCTGTGCAATAGAAAAGTATAATAAGATTAATTAAGAGAAACTGTTATAACCTTTAAGCTAGCCATGCATATCTAGCTGCAAGCCAATACTAAAATTCACCTGGTCTTAACAAGTATCACAGGATATTTCATAAGACATGTGAAAAACTATTATGCTAAGACAAGATACTTAACCTAAAAAGTGTATCCCATAGCAAATCTTAGTTAAGTATTTGTTTTGATTTTTGGGTAGCAGACAATTAAATCCAAGTTTTTGTTATGTAAAGCTGTAATGTGGTCTACAGAGTCTGAGAGAAAAAAAAAAAACAACAAAGATCCTGTAATATATTTCAAATTATGTATTACAAAATCCTTGACAACGACATGTTCTATCATCCAATCTGCATGAAGTTATGTGTGGGTTGTATTTCTCAAAAAAATTAAACGTACTCAATATGGACTTCAAAAATATTTTTAAAACAAAAAATGTTTTTCAGAACATCTGAAGTGTTTACCTGGCCCAATGCCACCATCAAGGTCACTTGCACTCAAACTTGTAACAGAAATACTTCTCCCTCCTGAGTTTCTCAATAAACGTTGACTCCGCAGTTGGTCGATTGATTGTTCCAAACTTTCTTTTAACTAATTTAAAGAATATAATGAAAGAAGCATTATTCTTCTTAAGCAACTTCCAAATACAAACATATCACAGATTTTCAAATCTATTTCTGAAATATCTGGGTTCCCCCCCAAAAAAGCATTTGTATCAGAGAAAATTTTGAACTAAACTATGTTAAAAAATAAAAATAGTAAATATCAATATTTTAAGAACCAATGGTAAAATCTGGTTTTAAAAGGCATCTGTCACTACCTATCCCATTTTTTATTGCCAGATGCGGAAGAAATGTCTACTATATAAGGGCTTACAAAACCAAACTGAAATGTCTAATTGATGCACTACTCATGCGAAGAAACATAACAAAGTCAACACAACTCAAAGAAGAGAGAACGCTTTCCTCCCTTCTAAACATTCCTTCAGAAACTAGGTCTACAACAAATAGAAAACCAAACAGCTGTCACAGCGACAGCCACTACTGAAACAATGTACACTGCTCGACTCTATTATCAGAACACCTCTTTCAGTCATTCAAAAACTTCAAATCCCAGAAAACGATTAGATCACATATCAGACTACCAGTACACACTAAGAATTACAGGTGTCCAAATGCTTTATTCAGATTATCAAGGAGTCAGCCAACAGAAGATATATAAAAACATATTTTTAGACCTAAAGAGCTACATTTAATAAAAAACATGCTAAATGCTGAGAATAATGTCCAGAGCTATACAAAACTACAGACCTAAGAAGAGGATTCTACTAAGCCCCAAGAGAAAAAAAAAAGTAAAGTTGAAGAAACTCCATACACCCTGAATTGCTGGAAAACTTTAGGTCTAGATTCAAGGATGGATAGAAAGCAATAATTCTAAACATAATGCATCGGGCCAGGCACGGTGGCTCAAGCCTGTAATCCCAGCACTTTGGGAGGCCGAGGTGGGTGGATCACGAGGTCAAGAGATCGAGACCATCCTGGTCAACATGGTGAAACCCTGTCTCTACTAAAAATACAAAAAATTAGCTGGGCATAGTGGTGCATGCCTGTAATCCCAGCTACTCAGGAGGCTGAGGCAGGAGAATTGCCTGAACCCAGGAGGCAGAGGTTGCAGTGAGCCGAGATCGCGCCATTGCACTCCAGCCTGGGTAATGAGAGCGAAACTTCGCCTCAAAAAAATAAAGAAAAAGAAAAAGAAACATAATGCATGGATCCGTGGAACAAGTCATCTATAACTCTTTAAATAGAATGCCAAAACAAAACAATTAATTGAGAAGACAAGGTTTCCTAAATTCAGCCAGCATTAAAAGAACACCATTTATGAGAGAACAAGTTGCTTTACTTGGGGGAAATGAGCAGATAGAAAGGAGCCTCAACTGAAAGAAAAGCACAGATGGAACAGAATATGAGTCACAAACAAAGCAAACCCTTTTTCAGTTGGCTGTTTGGATTTAGCTGTTCTGGAGAATCAAAATTGAAACACTCTGTATTAAAAGAAGTAGTGTTAGAATTTCAGGAATCTAATTCTTTTGTCCCTCTCATTTCTGAAAGAAAAAAAGAGGATTTCCACATCCTTCTGTCTCCTCCTTCCCTAAATTGGGGTATGTGCAATACCATCCTGCCTTGAGTATTTGCCAGCCAGCTGTAAGACTTAGCACTGGCCCAGCGCAGTGGATCATGCCTATAATCTCAGCACTTTGGGAGGCCAAGGTGGCCAGATCACTAGGTCAGGAGTTCAAGACCAGCCTGGCCAACATGGTGAAACCCAGCCTGGGTGACAGAGCAAAACTGTCTTGAAAATTAAAAAAAAAAAAAAGACTCAGCATCAATCCAGAGAACATACTATGAGGCCCAGGAAAACCAAGGTACACCTTGAGAGTAATTTATAAATAAGTAAAATAACATATGAGTAGACCAGAGGTCTTGTGTAGTGACCGCAAAGTAGTATATCGGTAATCTATGACAAAATTATCCCAACAAAATTAAACACTGTTAAAGCTAAAAAGCTCAAATTCAAACTGTAACATGAGAAACAGACTAGAAATATCAAGTGACTTTAGATCATACAAATTAGTATCAGAATAAAATGTAAAACCAGCTCTCTTAACTTTTGCTGTGTTTATTATTTCCATCTTTCAAGCTAAACTCAATTTCAGTACCTTTTGAAAGCAAAGTCAGCTATCATTTCTTACTACTGCTACTTTTTTAAGGTAATCTGCATTTTTAGCTCTGGCTATTGTTAAGATTTTCTCTTTACCTTTGTCAGTGGTTTCTTTTTTTTTTTCTTTTTGAGACGGAGTTTCGCTGTTGTTACCCAGACTGGAGTGCAATGGCACAATCTCGGCTCACCACAACCTGTGCCTCCTGGGTTCAAGCAATTCTCCTGCCTCAGCCTCCCAAGTAGCTGGGACTACAGGCGTGCACCACCATGCCCAGCTAATTTTTGTATTTTTAGTAGAGACAGGGTTTCACCTTGTTGACCAGGATGGTCTCGATCTCTTGACCTCGTGATCCACCCGCCTCAGCCTCCCAAAGTGCTGGGATTATATTTTATTATGTATCATTATGTAGAGTTTTTTTGTATTTATCCCATTTTTGACTCATAGATATCACAAAATCCATAGCTTAATAAATTTCATGTGTTGTAAATTCTCAGGCATCATCTTCTCAAACATTGTTTTTGCCCCATCCTCTCTACACTCTCCTTCTGGAAATGCAGCTGCATTTAAGTTACCTCTTTTTCCCAATTGCTGTGTGTCTTTTCTCTTTTCTGTATTTTTTCAATCTTTCATTCTTCCATTCTTTTTGTATGTCTCATGCTGGTTTGTCTTTCAATTCATGAACCCTCTTTCAACTATACACAAGCTATTGTTCACTGCATCCATTAAAGGTCAGTGGGTTATCTACCTTATTTTTCAGTTTCTGAAATTTTCATTTGGTTCCTGCTAGTTTTCAATTATTTTCTAAAACTCTTAATCTTTTAATTTCTTGAACATATTATTCACGCTTACTTTATAGTCCCATATGTTTCTCTTGTCTGCTTCTTCCCTTGGTTTTCAGACAGCTTTTATATTCTCTTACACCTGTGTATTCTTTATCATGAGACATTTTATATGAAAAGCTATAGAGATAATTTAAAATTCTAGAGGATGACATCTTTCTTCAGAAAAATCTGGTTCTGCTTCTAAGAGAAAGTCAGGTTAGGGTCACCAGCAATCTCAAATCACCTTAATCTAGTTAGGAATTGAAGTGGTTCAAGGATGGGTGTCTGTCACCATCAAGTCTGGTCTATTTTCAGTTTATCACTTCTCATCTCCAATTCACCACTGGCCTATACTATCACCCTTTGGGGTCTCCATTAAAGCTGAAGAATGCCTGAATTCTAGGTTTGGTCTTCCTAGCCTCTTCAGTTGATTGATAGCTCTGATCCTAGCCTCTCTGCTTTTAAACCATCTCTTTAGGAATCACCTATCACCTTGAAGGAGGAAAAAAGTCCCAAAGATAAGTCTTGCCCTTCTGGACTTATGTTTTTTTGATAGATCCTGACTACAAAATTCTTCACTGTCTTAGCAGTTCTTAGATAAATTCATAAGATTATGTTCTACTTTTTCTTTCATGTTTCCAGTTGTTATCAGTAGAAGAGTTGATCCAAAATAATCTCATCTACCAATGCCAAAAGCAGATTTTGCTGGCATTCTTTTTGTGAAGGCTTATTTGCTAACAAATCCTAAGCTGTAACTAAAAGCTGAGAAATAAAATGAAATGAATTTACACACACACACACACACACACACACACACACAAACACTCCCAGCCACCAAAAGAAAAGAGTTACCATGGAACATACAGAAGAATATTAAAGAATGTGAGAAATGAAACATATCCCCCAAAATCTAAGAAGAATGAAAGATGTTCAAAAACTAATTATTTCAAAAATAAAACAGAAATTACAAAAATTATTTGGCAACTCCATTTCAAAACTCTAAAAAGATATATCTGAGGCCATTGAAGATGAACAGGTTCATTTATAAGGTCCAAAAGATAAAATTACATTACGTAAAGGGAGATGATTGAAATAAAGATTATTTTAAATTACTCTTCCAAGGATCATGGCAAAAACAAGTCTTGCACCTAAAACATAAAACTAAAAATGTAATAAAATTAAAATCTATACTTGAAGTAGTCACAACACAACATGACAGGCACTGCACAAAATTTAATGATGTATGGAGCCAATTTGATAACTCTTAAAACACGTAAACAAAGAGATAAAGTACAAAGTCATAAAAATTGCTTTAAACTCTTTCAGATTATAACTCCTAACTAGGTATAAAGCCAAACCAAACAAAATAAATAAAGACAAAATAATATTAATAAAATTCAATCTAACATTAATTTTCTATGATGGATGATGTTATTTTGCTAAAACTAATCAATCTCACCCAAGACTATGGTACTAACTACAATGCTGTAAATTACTTTGCGTCTAGTAGGACTGCCTCGCCAGATACCAAATGATGATTCCCTCTATTTTCCCCAACTTTCCCCTGTCTGAAATACTGTAAAATGGACATCACAGAAAATGATAAAATGTATATCAATACCTCAATTGATAAAAATGGATGATTTAAAGATTATGTCTATTCTTTTACCTCTGTTCTTTTGATATTAAATGGAAGCAATGAAAACTACTGTGTATCAGTATAAATGCAAATTAAATTCGGACACTGGAATTGAATGGCTATGGCTGGAATCTGTGTCCTCACCTAAATCTCATGTTCAATTGTAATCCCGTGTTGTAGATGAAGCCTGGTAGGTGACTAGATCATGGTGGCAAAGTTCTTACGAATGGTTTAGCACCATCTCCACTTGGTACTATATAGTGAGTGAGTTATCATGAGATCTGGTTCTTTAAAAGTGTGTAGTACCTGCCCACATCTTCCCATGCTCCTACTCCAGCCATGTGACATGCATGCTTCCCCTTTGCCTTCCGCCATAATTGTACGTTTCCTGATAAGATCTGGTTGTTTACCAGTGTGTAGCACCTGCCCACTCCTTCCCATGCTTCTACTCCGGCCATGTGACACGTGTGCTTCCCCTTTGCCTTCTACCACGATTGTAGTTTTCCTTAGTTCTCCCTAGAAGCTGAGCAGATGCCACCATCATGCTTCCTGTACAGCCTGCAGAACCATGAGCCAATTAAACCTCTTTTCTTTGTAAATTACACAGTTGAAGGTAGTTCTTTATAGCAATGTGAGAACAAACTAAAGCAGGTAGTTTATCCAAATCATAAAAACATGCTTTTTAGACTTAAGCATGTAGTAGGCTCCCTCTAGCCAAACATATAACAATTTGAGCATAAATAAAAACATTAACTTCAATGGACTAAAACACTTTAAATATACATATAATTGTAAGTTAACAATGATACTCAAGGGGTAAGTCATTGGTCACCACAAGAAGATGTAGGAAACCAATTATTTTGGAAACTAATAAATAAATGAAATGAAAAAAAAGCTATAGAAGCTTTTAGTTTATCATAAAAATTAAATACTAAATGTTAAAATTCCCACAGAGCTCTCTGAAAGCTTTTTGATATCTCTATTTGGAGAAACTCTGATTAGAAACAAAATGTAACTCAAGGTTAATGAACTGAAAAAGAAGGCATATAAAACTCTAAAGGATTGACTACACTGCAACCTAAATCTATGAAAGGAGATCATCTGGGCAACAATGGGAACTCCAAATAACAGAAGTGATCGTTAAAAACATTGTAATTCAGGCTGCGTGTGACAGCTCACAGCTGTAATCCCAACACTTTGGGAGGCCAAGGCGGAAGGATCGCTTAAAGCCAGGAGTTCAAGACAAGTCTGCCCAACATGGTGCGATCCCACCCCTACTAACAAAGTAACAAATAGAAAGTAGCCAGGTGTGGCAATACACAACTGTAGTCCCAGCTACTCAGGAGGCTGAGGTGGGAGGACTGCTTAAGCCCAGAAGTGGAAGGCTACAGTGAGCTGTGATTGCACCACTGCACTCCAGCCAGCCTGGGTAACAGAGTGAGACTCTGTCTCAAAATAAGTAAATAAATAAAAATTTTTAAAGTAGAAATATCATGATTCAGAAGGACCAAAGGAAAGCTTCATTTGCTTTCCTCAGCTGTACTCCTTTCACTTCTGCCCCCACTCCTGTCTGCATCTTTCACACCCCATCAGATACCTCTATTAGACGTTTCATTTTGTGGATGAAATAAGATAATCTACCATAAAATGTTAGAACAATGACTTAGGCAGATTTGTTTGTTCAGTAAATGATAGTTTTTAACATTATGATTAAAGGCAATGACAATAAAAGCAAAAAATAAATAGAATGATGAAATAGAATGCTGTAATCTGGAGAAGCTATTTAAAACAGTGTGTCATTCCCTAAGAATCTATTTACAACTCAGATGGAAATATGTGTTGAGTTTGTTTACTTCCCATGAATAAACCACTTCCGGGCCGGGCGCGGTGGCTCATGCCTGTAATCCCAACATGCTGGGAGGCTAAAGCGGGCAGATAATGAGGTCAGGAGATGGAGACCATCCTGGCCAACATGTGAAACCCATCTCTACTAAAAATACAAAAATTAGCTGGGCTTGGTGGCATGTGCCTGTAGTCTCAGCTACTCAGGAGTCTGAGGCAGGAGAATTGTTTGAACCCAGGAGGCGGAAGTTGCAGTGAGTGAGATCACGCCACTTCACTTTAGTCTGGTGCCAGAGAAAGACTCCATCTCAAAAAAATAAAAGATAAAAAACACTCCTTCAGAAAGTTCAGCATTATTCAACTCTAGGCCTACCACAGAGACTTGATGCCAATGGGCCCCTTATTAAAAACTGCTTTCTTAACATTATAATATTTACTGCTATGGAATATGTCATACCTAACATTGGGTATACATAATTTAATTTCCCAATTGCCCAATTCAAAACAAAACTGCTACCATAAGTAAGGATCTAATATTCAACTGCAAAAAGTTGACTGTTCTCTGCTAATGGTTAACAATAATGTTTTCAATTTTTCACTAATAAATTAAAAAGCAAAGACTCAATTCCCATCACTAACAAGGTAATGATTCTGAAACATTTCACAAGCGACTTAAATATACAAAGCCTGTAGACTTCCGTCAGTCAAGTACATCATAAATCATAAAAATCCTTTAAGTACAAGGATATCCAAACTCATTTTCCAAATAAAAATAGTAGAAACTCTTATGTGAGAAGATATGTTTCTCTGTGTTCAATTAGCTTGCAACTGCAAGTGATTAATGATGACTATTTTACTTTGTAAAAAGAAAATAGAGAGTCATCGATTACAACTTGGGAGTTATGTGACAATTCAATACAACACAGATATGTTTAAAACAATCATTATTCCTTTGTATTTCCAATGCTGGGTATATATACAATGACCTGAAAAGACTAAAGTCACATGGTATGTATACCTATTGTTGGAAACATGAAGGAATAAATTTAATTGGTTTTCCGAGAGTTTATAGGAAAGGAGTAAGCAATTCCAAAGGAAGGAAAAGTAGAAGATAGAATTAGCAACACATTAATTAAAAATACATTATTAATTTTATTCCTGAACTCTAGAGTACATTTCTTTCTTACATCCCCATGTAAAGGAAGTATAAACTAGAACATCCTTGAAAGGGCAATTTTGAAACATCCAGCAAATGTTTAAGTGCACATATCATTTGACCCTGCAATTCTACCTCCAGTAATCCTACAGGATTACAAATATATACGTGTGTGTGTGTGTGAGCGTGTGTGTGTGTGTGTGTGCGCGCCCGCGCGCGCACACATTAATGGTCATTGCTATAATTTCTTTTTTTTTTTGAGACGGAGTTTCGCTCTTGTTACCCAGGCTGGAGTGCAATGGTGCGATCTTGGCTCACCGCAACCTCCGCCTCCTGGGTTTAGGCAAGTCTCCTGCCTCAGCCTCCCAAGTAGCTGGGATTACAGGCACGCGCCACCGTGCCCAGCTAATTTTTTGTATTTTTAGTAGAGACGGGGTTTCACCATGTTGACCAAGATGGTCTCAATCTCTTGACCTCGTGATCCACCCGCCTCGGCCTCATTGCTATAATATTTATAATAAAAAGGAAAAACTAGATACATCCACACTATGGAATACTGTATAACTGTTCAAAACAATGAAGTAGTGCTATACAGAGTTACATGGAAATTGATATCTATTACTAAATTTTAACAAGTTGTATAACATCATATTTAATATGATTACATTTTAAAGCAAATCACACATATGCTTGTAAATACATAGAAAGTGTTTGGAAACAAGAAGCTCTCAAAATTGTTACCTCTGAGTGGTGCTCAAAGGGAGGTTGGATAGAATTAGAAGTCATTATCCTAAGTGAAGTAACTAAGGAAAGAAAAACCAAATACCACTTTTTCTCGCTTATAAATGAAAGCTAGGCTATGTGTACACAAAGGTATACAGAGTGGTATAATGGACACTTGAGACTCAGAAGGGAGGAGGCTGGGAGTGGGGTAAAGGATGAAAAACTATCTATTGAGTACAATGTACCCAAAAGGTACACCACCACAGAATTCATCCATGAAACCAAAAAACCACTTGCACCGCAAAAGCAATTGAAATTTTAAAAAATTAAAAAGGGGCTTTGAGAGAGGAGTTTTTTGGTTTTTATTTTAACAACGAACACTAATTACTTTAAAATAAACCATCCTCAAAATTCTTAACTCTCCATGAGGGGTATCTCCATGGCCCAAGTTTACCAAGTCTCCATTAAATCCATGTCTTGAATTCTTCTCTCTCTGACGTAAAGCCTTCAAATTCAACAGAATCTAATTTATATAAGCTATTTAGCAATCCATCTGACAAGCTAACCTAAGTTTAAACTATAAAATAATAAAGTGGTTTAACATCTAAAGTGCTTCATAATGGTTATTTCCTCTATCTCACATCCCCATTCCCCAAAACCCTCATTCCCAAAAAGGTGGGTAGGAGAAAATGCAAACACATGTAAACTTTCTCACATGTTCTATAGCACCCGCCTGTCCATTACTGTATTCTCGGTATCGTCCAAGCATCTGGTCCACTTGTCGCAGGTTCCGACTGGTATCCTTGAGAAAGAAAATGGACTGAATTAATTATTCCAAATACTGTTTTTCCCAATCAATCTTAGTAGCATGTCAATCAACTAAGTCAACAGTTTATAAAATGTACAACTTATATCATGGCTAAGTTGAATATCAATGTACTTCATACATATTAAATCTTCACATCACTGAGAGAAACTCAAATCCAACTGCAGTTTACTTGGGTAAAATCTGAAGCACATAACATACATCCTCATTCAAGGTTCCCTAATAAGTCAGCAATAAAACCATAAATTCTCAGAATCATAATTTTTAATTTGTGCCCCTCAACTAATTCACAGCCTCTTTACAGAAAAGGAATCCTGAAAGAGCAAATCTAGTAGACTGTGAGCAACAGGAAAAATCATTAAGATCAATGTTATTTCAATTATTCTTTTACCTCAGAACTTGATGAGAAGGAAAAAAGTATCCTTTAATCTTAAGCCATTAAACAACAAATTTTAATCATAATAGAAATGGTTCTCATCTAAATATGCTAGATTTCACCTGAGAGGTTAATCAAGGTATTTTCTTCAAAAATATATACTTACTAACGTGTCTCATTGTTGGGAAAGTACAAGAATTCATACTCGAAAATTCCACTGTTATTTTACTTTACTTACTTACTTTTCACTTACTTTACTTACTTACTGATGAAAAAGGGTCTTGCTCTGTCACCCAGGCTGGAGTGAAGTGGCATGATCATGACTCACTGCAGCTTCGGCTTCTACTGCCTCAACTTCCCCATTAGCTGAGACCACAGGCACACACAACTATGCCCAGCTATTTTTTTTTTTCTAATTCATGTATAGACAGAGTCTAAGTATGTTGCCTAGGCTGGTCTCAAACTCCTGGCTCAAGTGTTCTTCCTGTCTCAGCCTCCCAAAGTGCTAGAATTACAGGCATGAGCCACCATGCCCAGCCCATCATGTTACTTTAAATAAATGTAAAAAGGATAGGTCTGATTTTCAAATCGAAGCATGGCCTCAACACGAGAAATTATCCTCTTCTTATCTAGGCATACTAATCCAAAGCAATTAAAAGCCAAAATCTATGCTTATCCAGGCTAAGGCAAAGGGAAGGGATTAATGAGTAGGAAATAAATTCTAAGTTTTCTTTTTTCCCGTATAGCAATGCTAACCTTCCCCACCTCTTTCTAAAGCCCTTTCTAAGAAAAGGAAGCTAACTGCCTCAACTCAAACCTCCAAATACTGGCAAAAATTAGCCTCTAATTCAAAATGGCTTTTCTTTATTTTCATCCGCAAATAATCTACATCACCAAAACATTAGCAATTTCTCTAAAGGCACATGCCCACACGAAGCTAAACTACCATCATTTCTACTGGTTTCGCTCTCAGAATATTTTATTTGGAAATGCTGCTTTATCCTAGAACACTCTCCACAACCTATCATATATTTCAAATATCTTTACTGACTGTCATAGGCAGAATAATGGCCTTCAAAGATATCCAAGTCCTAACCTCTGCAACCTGTATTTGTATATCAAACATGACAAAAGGGATTTTGCAAATGTGATTACATTGAAGACTTTCAGATGGAGAGTTTCTCCTAGATGATTGGGTGGACCCAATGAAATCATAAGCAACCTTAAAAGAGGAAAAGGAAGGCAGGAGAAGTAGAATCATAGGATGTGAGAAGGGCTTGACCCTTCCCTGCTGGCTTTGAAGATGAGGGAAGGCAGCCACAAGACAAGAAATGTGAGCACCCTCTAGAAACCAGAGAAGGCAAGGCAATAGATGTTTACCTCAGAGCTTCCAGAGAGGAAAACATCCCTTCCAACACCCTGAGACCCAATAAGACCAGTGTTGACTTCTGATATACAAAACTTTAAGATAATAAATTTGTGTTGTTTTAAGACACTAGCTTTGCAGTAATTTGTTACAGCAGCAAGAGAGCTAATCAACTGACTGAAACTATTAAGCAGCTCAAACTATTTAAATTCTATTAAATGCAACCATTGTCAAACTAACCTGTAAAGTACTTGTTATAGTGTTGACCTTCTCAGTAACTTCTACTGTAGGAAGACTTCGAGTTCCCCTGTGAGTTGATCTAGCAGCCCAGGCACTCAATCGGTCACGATCACGGAAGTGATCGGATTCGCTCGATGATTCTGCCATTGATGTACACAAATCCTTCTAAATAAATACAGGTCAAGGTTAATGAAACAGTAAAAAGCATGAAAATAAAAGGCTAATAGGTTTACTTTTGTTCTCTTTTCTGTGTTTAACATGTTAGTAATTTTGCAAACTGTAATTTCTACACACATAGCTTCTAAATACAAGAAGTCATTTCCCCATGTAATTCTCCCTCCTTCGTTTTCTCTGCTTTAAGGGAGCAATTCCTCAGATATAGTTTTGGTCATGTTCACAACTCCAACGATAATAATCTCTTAGATTCATGCAATGCTTCCAAATTTTAAAAGCATTTTCACATTTAGTACCTCACTTAATCCTACCAACAACACTGTAAGGTAGATGAGAAAAACAGATATTCTCTAAAGTTAGGACCTGCAGGTATCTTAACATTCATCTAATGTCCATTCTACTATAAGAACACAGCTACAAACACACAGCATGACCTATGATAAGACAATCCCATTCAGTGTACATTGACAACTCTCATGCACCTTGATTTAAAATACAATAGAATTAAACCAATGCTGTAATACAGTACAAATTCTACAATAACAGATACGTGAGAAGATGCCATCTTCAACAACTCCACCAAAATAGAAAGCCAGAGATGCATCAGTAGATAACTCTCTAAACATGCTTTCTCTCATCCTTACCCCAATTTTCTATTTAATGCATTAAAAAATTATTTCATGTAAGAGAATCTCAAAAGTTTCAGGAAACATTTTAACAGAAGTTGAGGAAACTAAATAAGTTCATAACAAAGAAGCATCAGAGGAACTCAACTGATCAAAAGTGAAAGTATACTCAGTATCCCAATAATTTCATTTTCTACTTAATGGTGGGTTAACTTTATTTTAACATTAATTGCTAGAATCTTCCTAAAATCTACATGGCCATTTTGCTGGGTGATTAAATACAGTGTGATAAAACATTTATTGAATGACAGTATATCTTAGACTTCCAGGACCTTTATTTTGAATGCAACTGGAAGTATATTGACCATGTATTTAAGGAGAAAATAAAGAGAATTTGCCAAATATGTACATGTCCTGGGGCATTTAATGAAAGCAACTGTGCTTTTAAAGTATTAGATGAAATATAACTAAACAAATAAATAAACAAGCAAGAACCCTTGCCATAAGCTTAGGTTTTGTTTTTTTTTTTTAAAGGAAATACCGCCTGTTACTGCTGTATCAAAATAAAAGAATCAATGAAATAACCGACTTTTTCACACTAGCTAAGACAGGGTTAGAAAACAACCTGTCGAATACCCATGCTTCTCCTCTGCCCAGAGCTCTTTATTTTCTTCCGCACCTATCTTCTGGAAGCTAGACTGAAGTTAAGAAATCATCAGGCAGAATAAAAAGTTAATATTGAAAAAGACAATGTGCTTACTCTAATAGTTGTTAATGAGAACAAAGAACCAAAAACTATCTTTGAGAACTTGATATTTCTGAGTATCAAAATTTTAATAATAATCAGTTATTTGCAGACAACTTCACCAGATGTAAATGGCATGTCAGACACTTCTGATACATAGACAACTTGAGTTTCAACATGACTAAAACTAGTTATAACTGAATTTTGGGGAAAATATTTAAGCTATAAAATAGTACAGACTAATAAAGTAAACATGCATGTATCTACGACCAAGAACTAATAAATATTATCATTCTGACATATGTACATATGAGAGTTTTCAGTAAAATATTTAGAACACTGTACATAAAGTGTTAGTACCTTCCAACTACCCCCTCTTCAGACAGTACTACTCCTGCCCCGTTTTCCCAGGGATAATCACTAGCATGATTTCATGTGTAACTCTCCAGCCTATATTTTTATACTTTTCCCACAGGCATGGGTACCTCAAAGTCTTTTTTTTATAGAACACACACTGCACTGAATTGATAAATATTAACAAGTAAAGATATGGGCGTATGTGAATTTAAAGCAGAAAATCTAACTGGTATTCAATAAAATTAAGAACAACATAAACTATTATCTCCAATTGTCATATAATACAAGAAGAAAGAATGATCTCTCACTTATCCCCACTAGGATTACATAATTTTAATAAGACAGATTCATACTTTCTAGCATGTTTCACTAGTACACACATACAGTCTTCAGCTATAAATTTCAGTTACTTTAAGCAATAAAAGACATTCAGACTCCTGCATCTGATGGAACTCCTGCAGAGATATCAAGATTGAAGGTGAGATAACCGAGAAATCCACATGGCTTTTTTTTTGAGCATATGAAACATTCAGCCACTATCTAAGGAATTGAATCACATAAGTTTCATAAATATTAACCTAAGTAAAATTTTAAAACCTCACTACAATAAAAAATAGAAGTTAGATTATTTTCATTGTTGATAAAAATCTAGTATTGTCTTCCACTGTTACTTGACAACACAAGGCAAACATGACTCCCGTAGCTAACTGACAAAGCACCTAACTAACCCCTCATGCCACAACACAAAAGGCAGCTGTGGTGGCAGAAGTCCATCCTTACTGAGAGTCATCAATCTGTCATGAGCCAACACCACTACACCGCAGACACAGGATTGATGGAGGGAGAAATAGATAAGAATGGAGTGGCCACTCACTGTTCGTAATAGCCAAGACTTGGAACCAACCCAAATGCCCATCAATGATAGACTGGATAAAGAAAATGTGGCACATATACACCATGGAATACTATGCAGCCATAAAAAAGGATGCATTCATGTCCTTTGAATGGGACATGGATGAAGCTGGAAACCATCATCCTCACCAAACACAAAAAGAGAAAATCAAACACCACATGTTCTCACTCATAAGTGAGAGGTGAAAAATGAAAACACATGGACACAGGGAGAGGAACATCACATACTGGGGCTGTACTGGGGTGGGGGGCTAGGGAAGGGAGAGTATTAGGAGACATACCTAACGCAGATGACGGGTTGATGAATCAGCAAACTACCATGGCACATATATACCTCTGTAATAATCCTGCACTCTCTGCACATGTACCACAGAACTTCAAGTATTAAAAAAAAAAAAAAGAGACGACTCAAGATGGCACTGTGAGAACAACCCAGGATTGAGGCTCTTGCTGGATGCACGGAGAAGGTGAGTCAGGGACGCATTTCTAGACGGACCTTTGTTGCCCACAGAATGGGGAAATTCCCAGATATAAAACAAACGCGGGACGCCAGCCAGAGATCTTGACTGATGTAGCCAGCAGCCGGTGCGGCTGCGGCCCGCGCCGGAGCGCAGAGGCGCTCCACAGAGGTCTGCACAAAAGCGCACTGTTCCGGGTGCCCTGTTGAACTGGCAACCTGAGACCTGAGAGGGCTGAACTTGAGACTGAACAGGACTTGAACAGTGAGCCAGCCCAGGACAAAGCGTTAGGGGTAGCGCAGTGCGACAAACAAAACAGGATTCCAAACGCTCACTGTTAGGAGGTTACCTTAAGGCGCAGCTCCGTGCGGGAGGGGCGTCCGCCATTACCGAGGCAATCAGCCCCTACTGAGGTACATGCCCATTGCTGACGCAGCCTGCCATTGCCGAGGCAACCCGGTACAACAGAGAGACTCCGCTGCAGGGCGGAGCCTGCAGGAGAAGGGGCAGAGCCTGCAGAAACAGGATGAACCTCACACCAGCAGGGCAGAACCTCGGCAGGACAAGACTGCCTCCTAACTGGGCAGGACAGCCAGGCAGACACTCAAAAATAAAGCCCCAACCCCTTCAGAAAGAGCAGCTGAGAATAAAAGGGCTTTTTTTCGAGTTCTGTTGCAGCAGAATTAAACATAGCAGCCTAACAGCCCTGAATGAACATCAGAGCTCACAGCTTAGCACTTGAGCTCCTATAAAGTACAGACTGTCTCCTCAAGAAGCTCCCTGACCCCTCTATATCCAAAAGACTGACATTTGGCAGGCATCATTCTGGGACAAAGATAACAGAAAAAGAAACTGGTAGCATCCCTACTGTTCCGCAGCTGCTATAGGTGTACCCCAGACAAGCAGGGCCTGGAATGGACCTCTGCAGTCGTACAGCGAAGGGGCTAGACTGGTAGAAGGAAAACCAAGTAACAGAAATACTTCATCATCAACAATCTGGGGGTCCACCCAGAGACCCAATCGAAAAGTCAGCAACTACACAGACGACAGGTGGATAAATCCACAAAGATGGGAAGAAACCAGCGCAAAAAGGAGGAAAACACCCGAAACCAGAACACCTCGCCTCCTAGAAAGGACCAAAACTCCTCACCAGCAAGGGAACAAAGCTGGATGGAGAATGACTGTGATGAAATGACGAAATTAGACTTCAGAAGATGGATAATGAGAAACTTCCGTGAGCTAAAAGAACATGTTTCAAATAAATGCAAAGAAACTAAGAACCTTAAAAAAAGATTCGAGGAAATGATAACAAGAATGGATAACTTAGAGAGGAATATGAATGAATTAAAGGAGATGAAAAACACAATATGAGAACTTCGCGAAGCATGCACAAGTTTCAATAGCCGAATTGACCAACCAGAAGAAAGAATTTCAGAAGTCAAAGATCAACTCAATGAAATAAAACGAGAAACCAAGATCAGAGAAAAAAGCGCAAAAAGGAATGAACAAAGTCTCCAAGAAATGTGGGACTATGTGAAGAGACCTAACCTACGTTTGATAGGTGTACCAGAATGTGACGAAGAGAATGAATCCAAGTTGGAAAATACTCTTCAGGACATTATCCAGGAAAATTTCCCCCACCTAGCAAGACAGGCCAACACTCAATTGCAGGAAATACAGAGAACACCACAAAGATATTCCGCAAGAAGAGCAACCCCAAGGCACATAATCGTCAGATTCAACAAGGTTGAAATAAAGGAGAAAATACTAAGGGCAGCCAGAGAGAAAGGTCGGGTCACCCACAAAGGGAAGCCCATCAGACTCACAGCAGATCTCTCGGCAGAAACTCTGCAAGCCAGAAGAGAGTGGGGGCCAATATTCAACATCCTTAAA